CCCTTAACTGGTGTAGTCACGCATTTCAAATCTCTTAGGTTGGTAACTATGCACACATAAGATAACATAAAAAAAGGAACAGGATTTTGTGTGCTATCATTTGTGTATTCTACACCAAAGAATTCAAATCCAATTCAATTTAACAACACAGATATCAATAATTAATTTTAATTGTACACATCAAAGGATGAATAACAATAGATTTATAGATCAAAAAACATACCTCTAACAACTCGGCCTTGAAGATAATTATATATGGAATCCATCCAATCCAGAGACAAATCATTCCATGCTCTCGGAAGTCCTTACACCAATCAATGACCATCTTGTATGTAACTATAATAAATTATATTAAACGAAATATGTATCAACATTGTGTACAGTCTGAGACATTTGCACAATTTGCAAATTGTGCAAGCTCTTTCTTGCACAGTTTGTGCAAGGACATTTTGGACAATTTACAAACTGTGCAAGGACTTCTTTGCGCAATTTTAAAACTGTTGGCAGTTAGGTTTTTTTTTTTTTTTTAACTTTTAATAATGTATGATTATGACTTTAGGCCTAGTAATAGGCCCTATCTATAATGCTATATGTTACTTTTAATCATAAAAGTTGATGACGCTTATGTTGGCATAGTCTATACCGGCTCAACTTTTTTTTGCTTTGACCTTGTTATATTTTAATCTATACAATCTATTTGTCAACTTATCAATCAATTAAAGTAATTAATTAATATTCAATTTAATATTTGTTTAATACTGTAGCCTAGGCCAAGAGAATCTGTAGAGACTAGGGATGTTAGCCATAGGGTCCAGCAGCTGGCTACGACAAGGCCTAGCCCAGGCTCAATGAATCATGCAACAGACTAATTCCTATAAATATTAGTTTTAATAGTGGTATCCGTTAACCGAAAGGTCCACTGATTAATCTCAGATAAGAAAGTATAATACATACTCCAAGTATTGAAATACACGTCATCGTGTTGGGATTCAATATTTCGACATTAATTTATTACTCCAAGTATTGAAATACACGTCATCGTGTATTATACTTTCTTATCCATTAATAAATGTAATTTTTATTCTTATTTTTTACATGGCAGCTATTACCAACTGCGTCCCACTCACACATGCCCTATCTTTTTTATCATTACTTAACACATCGTAATTGTTGTATTCATAATCATAAGGTAAGACTTTTTTTATACCTTAATTAGCGAACCTGTTGCCCACCAATAACGATGATTTTGAAAAATAGAATTTTATTTTTGGCCAATTAGTGCACCCGCAATTTGAGAAACAATACAGTAATTAAGTCAAAGCAAGTCGGCATACTATAAAGGATTAATGATATATGTACAAATAAACAGTGATAAGGGTGAACAATGAATGAGCAAGTGGTGGACTGTGGGAAAGCATTACTATAGTTAATGCATGGAGGAATTAATTCATCCATGGTTAATGGATAAGCTAAACATAAGGCATAACAAAATCAAGAACAGGAAGTGGCTATGAAAAAAAAAAAAAAAAAAAAAAAAAAAAAAATAAAAATAAAGATAAAAAAAAAAAAAAAAAAAAAAAAAAAAAAAAAAAGAAAAAATATACACATATATATATATATATAAATATATAAAATTATACAAAGCAATATTACAACTTAAATAAATATGGGCCTATACGGCAAAAGTATTGAAAGGCAAATAAAAAATGGTTATAATGATGGAAGCAGGAAGCCAAAACAATGATATACTGTACTGTATATATAGTATTGTATAAGGCATATAATAGTGCATCTTGAAAAAATGAAACAGATAAGTTTACTATAGTAAAAGCTAGAGTGAAAATAACAACAATAATATATAATGAATAGGCCTACAGAATAATAATAATAATAAAATCAGAATAAATAGTAATAAAATTATAATTAAAAGTGACCGAAAACTAAGAGAATATTTAGCGGCAGAAGAAAAATTTAAAGATGAATCCCAAGTCCTTATTGAGGCTGTGAGTGTGTGTTTTTAGTTTTAAAATCCATTTTAGTTTCATTTCATTTATTTGTCTCAAACAATTAGAATGTACATAAACAGAAACGGCAAAGAACAATCACAAAAAAACAGAGACAGGACACTCCAAAAGTAAAATCAATCACTGTCGAGTGGAGGCCCTTTACAAGAAAAACACAATACATACAATACAAAATTCTTCAGAAAGATAAAAAATCGAAAGATAAATATTGAAATATAGAAAAATGAGTAAAAATCAATAAATGAGCAAATTTAATTTAAAAGGTATTTGAGATATAAAAATATTCAGATAAGCATTAAAATTTATCTTAAAATATTCAATGTAAAAATGTCAAACAAATCATTTAAAATTGCATTGCACTTACAATATATAAAACAAAATTAATTATAATTATTAAAAAGAATGAGGTTAAAAATTTAAAAATTAATTTAATAATTAAGAGTTAGCGTAATGTTTATTCAGATTGCTAAGAAAATATTTGTAACTAGTAATAAGGAGAGAGCGTTCTTCTTGTGGTCTGTATTCAGTAGAGCGAAGTTGCTGGCTATGATAGTGACTTTGAGATGGTGAATATTGTGGTGGGGGGAGTTAAAATG